CCAATGATAGCAGGTCCAATCCAATAATTATATTTACTTAGATGACACAGCTGCCCAGTGCACACTCAAGATAAAATCTGAAAAGTCAACGCAAAAGAATTTTTAATGCCAAAGATGCTCAGTACACAAGGTATTTAAATAGTATAAAAATACATACCTAGCAGCATAAAATATCTGCTAATTGTGTCACATCTTAAAGGAACACCATTTGTCTATCACTCACTCACCTGCGATATAAACTTTATTCAGTTTATATCGCATGCCTTCACGGTGAATGAAGAATCAAAAAGTATTCCTTTAACTATTATAATCTTAAATCATTGATATGAAGAGAAGTTTCACCGGGAGAATGTGACTCTTAAACTCTTTTGGTCTTGTAGCAAAAACACAGGAGTGCTGTTACAGAGTGGACTTTCTTCCCTCCCAAATAAACTTTGGCTGAGCATAAACGCCAGCTTGCAGAGAGCACCAAAACCTGGCAAATGCCAAGTTTTCTTTTAGCCTGACATCAAGCTACTCACAGAATGAACGTGTATTAGGCAACAACTGGTACGATCTGCGGGTTAGCGACGGCTAACTGGATGTTTTTTACGTTGTTCTTTGCTAATTATACAAAAGAGAGGAGAGCTAGAAGTGGCATTAACAGAGTATTAACCAATTAGTGCAGTGCAACTAAATCATTTTCAATCAACTCTCTGTTTTTCACTCACGTGAAATGCTGACAGTGTCCAGCTGTCTAAACTAGAGCAGCATTGGAACACTATTATGCTGAGTTGGACAAAAAACACAGTGGAGTACAGTAAAAGGATCAGCTCTTGATCACCTTTATTTAAGCCGATAGGATCCATTCAAATATGTCCGGATGGGCCCAGTACTGATCTTTAGGACCGTCTTGGGTAATGTCTTAATGATGATTGGATATAGTTCAATAAGGATTTGTGAATTAGTTGGTTTACAGTCAAACCTGCTGCAGTCAATACAGAACTAACCGATAGGGAGGGAAGTTGTTTTTGTTTTCTGTGTGTGTGTGTGTGTGTGTGTGTGTGTGTGTGTGTGTGTGTGTGTCATGGCCTTGAGTTCATCACCACCCCTGGAGTGCTGGAGTGAGTTTCTTTTGAAGTACAAAAATCTCAGAAAGGACACACATTGGTCAATAACAATCGAGTTCAGCCTGGAACTTTTAAACAGCTACATTTCTATCTATACACACACGCGCACGCACACTCTCACAATCCCAGTTGTGCTTTCACAACTTTTGGGGACTTGACATTGATTTTCTGGAGACTTACCACAACAACTATCCACCTAATCTTGACCCTTAGCATAACCTTAAATTAAGTCTTCACCCAAAAATGTAATGATTTAAGTTATGGGGCATTTTGTCCCCAAGTTTGTCCCCAAAAGGAAGGCCAGTGCCCACAATGTGACTATAATTAGATTTATGTCCCCACAAGATGGGTAAAACACACACACACACACACGTGCTGTCCCTGGAAAATTGCGATAATTTGCTGCAGCTGGAGACCTGATTATCTGCCGGTGAGCCAATCAGGGCTCACCATTAGGAGTGTGTCTTGGCCAATAGGTGCTGCAGTGGCAGGTCCTCAGTGACAACTGGTCTCATTCAGTGGTTGCTGAGTTGAGTCTAATGAGAAGGGAAGAAGGGGCTAGTGCATATGCTGTATTGATGGATTACACAGAATGACCTTTCACTAAACCTCCAGCTAGTATATGTATAATCACAGCCAAAGGCAGTTAATCCAGGCCCCGCCCCTCCCCTCCTCCCAGCGCACATAGAGATGCAGACATCCTGAAAGACTTTGTCATCTGAACTGACGCTATTCTTAGTCCGTGTGCTCGAGGCATTATGTGTCCGCTTCAGGAATTCATTAATTTCTTGCCCTTTCCTGTACTTTGCAGTGTTTTAAAAACAGATGCTTGTCATGAATCCCGACCTTACCCACCAGTACAATAACCAGGGTATTGCACTCATTCCTTGTATTGCAATGCCGGAAGTGAACAACATTAAAAAGACCATTTTAAATTTTGCCACAAAAATTAAAAAGTGAATTTGTGTCCCTCAGGTGCATGTAATAAATTGGACGGGTAAAATCCCCCGAGGCTTGATAATTGTTTTAAGTTGATCTTTTTTCGCCATTCATGGTGCCGTCTAAAAATATAAATTAAATGAATAATACTGTAATACACCAAGTACTGAAGAAAGTTTTTGCAGTCAGTCACTCTCTTGGAGCGTGAGTTTTAGTTGAGAAAATGGAACATTTACCGACGGGACCAGACTGGCCGACCCCTGCACGCTGACTCAATGGCCAGACATATACGCACCTTGCATTGCCAACAGCTGCCTACACAGCAAAGAAACCCCCCAAAACAGTTACGATATGCACCAAGCGTTTCAGAGATGGAGAGACAATGTTGCTAACAGTTTAGCTTCTGTTGGCCACAGCCAAAGGCTCACGGCTGCGGCTGAAGTTAGCAGAGGGCTAAACTTTTAGCAGCATTGTCTCTCCATCCGTGAAACGCTCTGCTGATATTGTCTTTTACTAATTGAAAGTTGGAGCCGTGCTCCTTCGCTTCTGGCGCCCAACAACACAGCAAGATGATATTTTTGATGTGTAACTTCAGCCCGCCACTCTCAGGCGACCGGTGTTTGCCTCCAGTCTTTCCTTTGCTTTGCCTCCAGCTAACACCGCGACGTCGGCACGAGGAACAGTCTGTATGGGAGAGAGGCAGCAGGTGTGGCACACTGGCAGAAAGAGGGATGTTTTACGTCACGTTTTGGTCTGGCTTATTTCCAAATGTAAATTCCCGTAGCTGTTTATTCTGTATTTATAAAAATGTGTGTGATATTTTAGAAGTTGTTAACTGAACTTTGCCTTCTTCATGTAGCTTCTCTACTGCCATGCATCATCATTTCCATAATTATTCATTTTTTTCTGTGAAATCCCAGCGTTCATGCAGGTTGACGGTACAAGGTCTTAACATCAGACCATCCTGCACTGCCAAAATCCAGCTGGACTGTTGAACCGTGCCTGCTGCCGTTTACCACAGCACGTGTGCCGTTTGAAAAAAACGGCAAGCAAAGCAGCCATTAGATACTTTGTGAAAATGTTACAACGATACAATACAACAGCAACAAATCTAGTTAAATGGCACTCTGTTACTGCTTCAACGACTTCAATCATTTTAAAAGCTTAGAGCGTTGGAGAGGCGTACAGAGCACATTTCAACTACGAAGTTGACCCCTTGGGTGATGCCAGCCTGTGTTTTACTGGAACATGCGGCTTCCATGCTGAATTTTGTCTATGTCTCCATTTGTAATAGAGATGCGTAAAGACAAGAAAACCCATCTATCTGTCTCCGTCACGCAGTGCATCATGTGCATTTCGCCCAAGCAAAGTCGACCCACTTTCAGGGTGGGCGTCACGTTAATGACAGTAATCGATCAACGTTTTGTACAGGAACACGCTCTATACGTTGCGACATTTCCTTTTTTTCCGACATTGTAACGGAGTATTTTTTAGCTGCGAGTGCGGCACATTTGATGTTTTTCCACACTGCCTCACGCAGTCTTTCAAGTTTTTAAAAGCCTCCTCGATGACAGATGTCCCACCAGGCTCTTAGCTCCGTCACCTCCCCTCCCAAGACACATGTGTTGGAATAGAGTGGGGAGTCATCTAAAAGCCTGTGAGGAGGGGGGGGACTTTTACACTTAGTCTATTTTTAGACCAGAGCCTTTTTTTTGTTTTATTTTTTTCCCCGTCGCCACTCCCACGAAGATCTAAGAACAGGTACAGAGAACCGTCTCCAAAGACGGAGAGACGCATAGAGACAGAGGGGGATTCAATCCCCCCCCTGAGAATCAAAGGGAGATGGTGACAGATACTGAGCACACAAAGTGCAGGTAGAGAGATGGAGAAAAAAATGAAATTGAGTCCCAGAGTGGCTGGGTTTTATTCCAGCTCCAGTAAATTACTCGCCTCTTGCTGAATACAGGGTGTGGTCACCCGCAATGCAAAGTTTGCTCAATGTCCATATTGCTGTGTCTTGCTACAAATACGTGCATGCAAGATTTTGAGTTGTGCTATAAGTGCAGCAAGGTCATTTTTTATTATCGACTTATGTGCAGCGGAGCAAGAGAGCAGTGCCTGTGGATTGTGTGCTATTAAACACCGGTGCTCTTATTTTGAAAAGAGAAAATCAGCCCTAAAACTTAATTTGTTGCAGAATGCAAATTTGTGGCCATAACCTAATGTTATTTCTGTGATTGACAGTAAACCGAGCGGTTATGAACAGTCTTCTCAATGGCCATGCTGAGTAATCATAGATTGGAGATCGCGGTTTAACTGCTAGTTGTAGACGGTCGAGCTTCTTTAATAGCGGTTTTACAGTTAAACCCACCTGACTTCTATTATTCACTGGCAGGCAACACTGGTTGGAGCCACATTACACAAGCACCTTCAAGGTGAAGTAAGTAGGAGTTATGGGCAGAGTGTGTGTTACCCAGCTGAGTTTAAGGACTCATTTTCTGGTTCAAAGCTGTACGCGGTGAAATACAACAAATGTCATTTGGTTATGAAAGCCCACAAATTCCACAAGGTCACCATTTAAAGTTCAGTCAGACACTTACAGTACATAATAAAAAAAGTATTGTGGACTATTTATTGCATCAGATACAGCACTATCATGTTTGACTCAAAGCATCAGTCCCCAGTCGTTGTGATACAAACCAAAACACTGCATCACACTACGTCGATGGAGAAATGTCCTGCTCAGACTCTTCGTTTCCCGCTCGTAGCAGGAGGAAGATGGGGCCGGCGGGGGACGTTTGCAAGGACCGGGGTCAGCATCAGAAATGATATGCGAGGAGTCAGCAGAGAGCTAATTGTCAGATTATAAATACCACCACGCCGGCGTGTTTAAATGTGACTTTAAATGTCTCTCTCTCTCTTTCTCTTTCTCTCTCTCTCTCTGCCTCCCAGTGCTCAGCAGGCCTTTCTGTTGGAGAACGTGCCCTGTAACAACGCCAGTTGTCATCGTGTTGGGAGGATGTTCCAAGTCCTCTGGGACCAGTCAGATTTGGGAGCCATCCAAAATGCCGTCATGGCAACGTTCTTTGACATCTACGAGGACGTGAGTAGTTTGTGTTGAGTTGATGTCGTTCAAAGCTTGTTTTGATCACACAGCACCACCTTCTTCTATTTCTCCACACCTTGTACTGCATCTGTCTCTCCTCTAAATGTCCCACAGCGTTTGTCCGTCCCCTCTTATCTGTCCAACTCTGGCATCTACAATGGCACTGCTGTCAGATAGTTAGATATGCCACTAAAAATATCATCCCCTTGTTGAGATTGTCTACAGTATTAAATATTTTGATGCCAAATGGAGAAGAAAATGAATAAATCTCACAGAGCACACAAGACTATTTGATTTCTCTAATGCAGAAAAGTGGATTATGTGTAAAGCTTTGACGTCAACAAAATGATTTAAGTTTATGCTTTTCCTTTCATGCTCAGAAGTAATATTGCAGAATTGGACTGAGGACACAACAATGTCCTGTTCAATTTAGTGCTCGTTCCTAATCAGTAATGCCGTTTAACGCCCATTCTTTAGCTTGTGTGCGAGCCTACTTTACTCCATCACTGCCAGCTTTGTATTTACAAGACAAAGCACTATAAGTTAGCCTAATTCTCACTTCTTATACATGCTGTTATTTTTACACCGACTGTCTTTTTCAATAATGTCAACCTGGAGTTCTGTCCATGGTGACAATGTTGTGTTTGTATGAAAAAGAAAATGATGCACCCTTGCAGAGGTACAGTACATAATACAAATAATACACACAGTCCTAATCACATATAGATTATAATTGAGGAGACAAAATCAATAAATATCCACTATATCTAGCAAGTCACACATCTGCTGAATTTATCTGGTTTACTGCAGCGTTATGAACCCCAAATCAAACCAATTGTGCTGTCATTTAATTGCAATAAACAAAATCAATCAAAAGAATGCCAAATTAACTAGAGTACATCACGATGCCGATTTGTAAAAGGTCTGAATTCATGCTTCGTCGGGTCTGTCCGCAAGACGACAAACAACTTTTAAAAAGCTTGTTTTCTGAATGGAGTTCAGATCAATCGGGAATATGCTATGCTAACGCTGTAGCTGCTCCATCAACAGTCAAAATAACGTCATCTGAGCTTAAATAGGGCAGCAACGTTATTGTTTATTCACGTATACATTTATACACGTATGATCTGTCGGTCTCTGTAAAAATATGAGGTACAATAATAATACATTATTACCTCCATTTCTGATTCAACGGTTTTTTTGCGACACAGCCTCAAGCGAATTTCTCAAGCAAGTGGATACATTTCAACTCGTGTATATGCATATAGATATGTATATGCGCAAAAAAATTGCTTTGTGTCTGGTTTGAACACACCTTTATACACGTTTGCACCCAGAATGTGCGACTGCACACAGCACAGAAGCTGCATTGCAGCCTGCTGTGCATGCCTGTCTTATCAGAATTAATTATTACTGCTAATGCGGCCTGTCTGTTAAATTCAGCTCCTTCTCTCTGTTTGCCTCTCCCTCGCTCTGTGAGAGAATGCGTAAATGGTAGAGAGGGAGAGAGACGGAGTGAGGAGAATGGGGGGGGGGGGAAAGGGAAGAATAAAGAGATGATAAGATAATGCCGAATCAGTGTGTTAGAGGGATAAAAATGTACATCAGAAGACACACACCAGGCCTCCATTGTCCCTTATCTGTGTGCCTGTCTTCATTTGCAGGGTATATTAGACATGCTGGTTCTAAGCCAGGCAGAGGGCAAAAAAGACTTGATCATCCACGCTTTGAAGAACAATTACGAAGCCGATGCCTACTTCGTTAAAGTGATGGGTAAGTGACTGATTCGCCGAGTACGCCCTGTTCCTCTCTCCTCTCCACATGCCTCCACTAGTTTACATGAAGAAAGAGAAAGCTCCCCTTTTTGCCTCTTTCTGTCCTCTTCTCCTTCACTAATCACATTCATAGAAATACAACGGAAATTTTAATATTTTATGGTTGCATGTATTTTTTTTTTTTACCGGAACCGTTCCCCTTAGACCAATTAGAATGATTGAACAGCTCTTTTCCCAGACCGAGAAACCAGATGGCCACGACTATCATCCGTCATGTTATTTTGATTTCTAGCCTCGAGCTACTCAGTCAGGGGGGGGGGGGGTCTCGTCTGAGCTTTTTGTTCCATTTCAACCTGCATTTAAAACGGCCACTGACTTCTCCTCAGTCCTCTCTCCCTGGTTCTCCTCTTTAATCTTGTATATTACTTTAAACAAAGATATACTGTGAGTACAGCACGATAAGGCACACGACTCCCAGTGGACTTGCCCCGCTCATGACACAAGAGTGGGAGCTGAGTAATGGGCTGCAAATTGAAATTGATTATGTTTTACTTGTTGGAAAGGGCACAATAAAAGTCCGACATATTGTACTAGAAGATTCCATTAAGAGGCTCTGAACCTCGTTGCTGTTTGCAATCAGACTGACTTGAAGTGATGAAATCATCCTAAATTCAGAACCTCTGGCTTGTGTGACATTGTTAACTAGTACATATTTCATACCAGATTTTCTCAGAACATAAATATAGTTATGAATATAGCTAAGTGCTGAATGTAAACCTCTTAAGCACGACGCCCCCAAATTTGGGGGCTCTCGGGCTCAGCACCCCTGAAAATATTGTTCAAAAAAATAGCCTTATTGGTCGCCAGTATTGTGGATTGGTCCAGTTTTTTTTCCAGATTAAACAGCAACGTATGGGCAATACTATCATATAAATCACTTTTTACACACTCCAAACACAACTATAGACTACTAGTATAAGCATCTAGAAAACGTGGCATAAAAGCATGAAATCCTGGCCAGAAATCGCCGTTATGTGTACGGCAAATCAATATTTGCACCCTGATGCTAGTGGCTACCAAGCATTGCAATGCATTTTGTAGCATTAGCACTCGTGGCCGAACGCATAAATACCTTCGGTTTTTCTCTCCGTGGAAGCAGTAGAAAGCGGTGAGTGGACAAAGGTACCATCGTACTGCCCTCCGCCGAAAAAAATCATGGGTTTTTGGTCCGGTTTTATGAAAAATGAGTGGAATAACGTCGCAGATTATCCGGTTCAAAGATGGAATCATAGTTGCTAACTGCATCCTGTTTACTTCCGAGCTGTTTCCAGAATAAGAGAGGTCAATCCAGTTTGGGCGAGCGGTCAGACTTCCGGCGAGCGGAAATTTACGCTCGTGGAGACGCGGCACTTCTTGCAACTTTACTGGCTGAAACTTCTGTCAATCAACACCAAATTCGACACACGCCTTCCTGAGACTTTGACGCATCGAAGGAGGGCTAAATCGACCGATGATAGGCTGAGCTACAGCCCCATACACACACATGAACTGAGAAAATCCTATAGATGACCGCCAGAAAGATGCTCTGACAGGACCCTTGCTCTCAAAATGATTCCTAACAGCTGTATTTGGATGTATTGAATAATATGAGTGATAAAAAAAGTGAAATATATAGTTATATAGTATATAAAAGTACAATGTAAGAGCTGCAACAGCTGGTTCAAAAGTGATGACCTCGCTTGACCTCTCTCTACTGAAGCCTCTTATTCTTCACTTTATCCCACTTTAACCTTTATTCAGCAACTACTGATTGGTTGTGCTATGATTTGGGAGAGTTTTTAGGGAGATATCTGCATTATTTCAAAAACATATTAATAAAAGTGCTTTTTTTTTCAGGCGAACCTGATTATTTTCAATTTGAGCTGTGTAATGTCTTCATTTACTATATTAACCAGCAACATATACACAATATTACCCACTGAACAATCTCACAAGTGTTGTGATATGATTATAGCATCAAAAATTATTAAAATAGACCTTGTAGTTACAGAACTATGGTCACTTTAGTATGGGTATGCCATTTTCGAGCAGAGGCCTACAAATAGGGCCCGAGCTTAAGAGGTTTTAATTAAGTTAGTGATGTAGTGTTATACTACTGTTTCACACCGTGTAGCTAGAAATCCTGGATGTGAAGTCAGACTGGCACCTTAATTACATGTCAGGCCCCTCCCTCTCTCCCCATGTAACCCGTCACTTTCCACTTTTGACTGCCTGATGAAGGTGTCAGAAGTGCCAGAAAAATAACCTTTAATCTGTCTGCTGCAACGACAGACAGAAGACAAAATGTTCACTGATTCAGAAGAAATAGCAACATAGTGCAATATGCTGCGTTTCAGTCGCACTTTAAACCCGGTATTCACAAATGATGTCTGACTAGAAGCAGCTTTTGAGTCAATATCTGTGTGCGATGCTCAGAAATAGTTTTTTTAAATTTATTTTTGGCTCGCCGCTTTTCCTTCTCAGTTAATAGAATTTTTTTTCTTTTCTTTCTTTTTTATTGTAACAGCGTTTGAGTGAAATTCAAGACGCTGTCTTTTGAAGTCAAAATGTTGGTACAGCGTTAGTACCTAGTGACATTTGAGGAAAGCAAAAATAGTTCCACTCAAGGGTGGGCCTCCGCACAGTTTAATCTGTCACTCTGCTCGGCTCATTAGGAGGAAAAGGAGCGTCGTTCATCCCTTTCTGTTGCAGAACAGTTGTTGTTCTGTCTTCTTTTTTTTATTTTTTAAAGGGAGGGGCTACAACTGCTCCTCTGCTTTCAGAATCATAAGAAACGCACATAAATCATCACCATGCCCTTGTAAAGCACTCTTACAGTATGTAATCATTATTATTTTCCAAGTATTACGTCTACATACACATTTGAACTGTCTAATACATACTGCCTGATAAATATGTAACACACGCCAGGCTCTCTGATATAATAGAGACTCGACACTAATAAACAGCAAACTGAGAATAAAGACATTCCAAGCCCACACTGAAAAACAAAGGTTGCAGAAGCAAATAATGTGGATTAAACTGAATCGATTCATATTACAATACAAAATGACAAGATTCTCACAGTATACTAAAGTCATATTTGGCGTTTATCAACCGGAAGTGGTTTCCTGGAACGTGCTCAACTCTGCAACGTTGAAGTTATCTCCATGAGGAGCGCTTGTGGTATCGCAACAGATTGGACTTCATTACAGTAAAGGAAGTAGAACCACTGAGCTCAATGTCTTTGTGTACATTGTACAGGAAGAATAGCTAAATGACATCCATGATGTCGTGCGTCCTGCTTTGCATCTCAGTATTTATTGGATATTTGTTTGAACGCTTGGTTAAAATCAATACAGGGTCCTAGTGTAGGAGTCGGTGGTTTCCAGGTGCCCAGTAGAAGTCTACATGGACTATATCATGTAATCGCTGTGGTCATACACTGTTGCGCATACTGTCATATGTCCATACTGGGCCTGAAAGATTAAGCATCTTTAAACTGAAAGAGGGCATTCGTCAGCTAGCTCTTTAGTGGAATTAATGACCAGCTGGTGTGGTGAACAGTAGTCAGAATGTTCCAGTTTAAATTTCAAACGCATCATATCATTGTTTTCTGCTTTATCACCTTTTAAAAGCTCTGGAACTGTGAAGCTACGCATCCAGCAAGTCTGCAGTCAGCATGCCAGCGTGCAGAGCCGTCAGCAGTATAGAGCTCGTTGGTCAGATAGCAAGACTTTTAGTGAAGTCGTAAGCGGCTCGTCATCGTTACCCGAAATGGACGTAGCAACACGTATTTGTCATTTGCTGTAGAAACGAGATAGTTTGAGATTCTCTCCAGGAAGAGTGGGCTCAACAGCAACAAGGCAAAAAAAAAGCCCAAAATATATTTTATTTTATTTGACAATAAACAAGAAATTTTAAAGGAAGAGCCTCTCAGCCTCCGTGTGTGTGTGTGTGTGTGTGTGTGTGTGTGTGTGTGTGTGTGTGTGTGTGTGTGTGTGTGTGTGTGTGAGTGACCTTGACGACTCCCCCGAATCAATTCCTTTTGTGCCGCCTCTCTGAACGCCGCTGTTCTTTTTTGTTATCCACGTCTTGTCTCACTGCGGCACATCAAACAAAACACACACTGATACACCCAGACCAAAATGCCTGTCTTCGCTCCCCCACCCTGTCGATGGCAAACACTGTCAGCCCCCCCCCCCACACACACACTTCTTCCCTTTATTCGACATCAGTTATTACACGTTTGGTTGTGAATATTTCATACGTGTTCGGTGTCGCATTTGCTGCATCTAGGTGCGTGCAGACTAGCGAGCAAACGCCAAGCAGTCGAAATAAAAATGTATCCGTCAAGTGTTACACCCTGTCAACATTTCATTCCTCTCCCCTGTGAACGGGAGCTCGAATGCACCTTAATAGCCTCGCACCTCCCGTGAAATTCCCCTCGAGGGCAAATTTGTTTATTCTTTTCAGGCGTCTCTGATAGCATTACACTGTAATAAGTGAGACTGAGTGTATGAACTCCATATTCACACGTTCTGTCAGCCAGTGACGGGTCTTTGTAGACAGCCTGATCCAGTCCTCCGTTCTGTAAGATGGAATCCCGTTTTCTCAAGATGACATCGCTCAACCCTCCCCCGAGCATTATTGAACAACACCAGCTGAAGGATTGACTTTGTGTCCGACTCGGTGTGTGTGCAGCTTGTGAGTGAAAGGTAAGGTCCCACGATGCACGCAGACTTCCCGGGATAAATCCATCACAGGTTGTTCTCGGACAGCAGCCTTGCCTCTCGGCCTGGACTCTTGCTGGGCTTTTTCACACGGAGATGACCTGAACCCGTACCGGTCTGACATCTCATCCTTGCGTGCGCCCCGACATGCAGTCGTTCACACACCAGGGCGTTCCATCAACACCCCTGCCTCTGTTGCCACAGGTGCATATATTATTTAGCAGCA